GATGAATAATAATAATAAAATACTTTCAAAATAAAATCCTGATCTCTTTTCCAGGCATGTTGTGGTGAAGACCTCTCCCAACCACAAGTACATCTTCACTCTGAGAACTCACCCCTCTGTTGTCCCTGGCAGCATTGCCTTCAGCTTGCCCCAGGTATGGCTTTCTATGACTTTCTGCTCTGCTACAGAATAAGCAAAATCTCTTTTTTAGGATGAGGATTGATGATAAGTTCTCTAATTGGAATAAATGTGTGCTGCAAATTTGATTTCTGCCAGCAGAAGTTCAAGGATGCTCACACTGCAAGTGAAGTGACTGTGCTTGTGTTGTTTTGATATATTTTTAGTGCATGGTGGGATAAAGATACTGGAAAATGTGTAATTTAACCTTTTAAAAAAACACCAGAAAGAAACTATTTGAAAAGGAAAAATCTAAGCAATATCTTCCATTCCTTGTGAATCTTTAAATCCTTGGCTTTGAAGGGTTTCTTTGCTGTGTTTTTCATTTTTAAGACCTGCTGGAAGTTTTATTGACCACATCCAGTCATTGTTAGTATTTATAGATGAAAACTGCAATGAAATGCATAAAAAAACCCCAAACCCCTTTGTCTCCTCTTTCTTAATTAACTCATCATCAGATGTTAAATGCTGGTTAGAATAAATAATGAATATAATTAACTTCTACATTGAAAAATGAAACTTGAAGCTTTGTACTGCTCTCACTGAGTCCATCCCATGAACCTGCAGCAGTTGTGGTCTCTGTTTCAGCACTTTAATGTCTCCCTGCCACTCCCTGCTCCACGCTGCAAACACAGCAGATTTTATTTCTCAGCACATCTTGGCACAAGCCCCCAGATGACATTTTTGTTTTTGATGTGCTGCTGGAACTGGGTCTGTCCCAGTGAGTGGCTGGGGGCTGTGTGACCTTCAATGTTCCCTGGAACCTCTCTGGACAAGGTTTTACCATTTTCATTCACCCTCTTTTAGTTTAAAGCCACTTCCCTTTTTCTTTTGCTACAATCCCTACTAAAAATTCTGTGTCCTTAAAAAGCCCACTTAAAGTATTGAAAGGCCACAATGAGGCCACAAACCCCCATTCCCTCAGCCTGTCTGCACAGCAGAGCTGCTTCAGCCCTCTGAGCATTGGCCATTCCTGATACTGGGTTTGAATTTTAAAATCCCCAATATTTCCCAGAGCCCTGGATGGCTGCAGTCAGTCTGACACCCACTGTGTGTTTTCTGCTCCTGGTCAGGGGTGTCTGTGCTCTGAGGCCTCCAGAGCATCTCTTTGTTGTACACTCACTGTTCACATGGAGCTCTTAACCACCTTCATTCTGTGCTAATCTTGATTTTGACTTACAGTTTTTGATCACCTTTGTTCTGTGGTAATCTTGATTTTGACTTACAGTTTTTGACCACCTTCATTTTGTGGTAATCTTGATTTTTTACTTCTAATACTGAAAGCTGGGAGTTCTTGACGACCTTTGTTCTGTGATAATCTTGATTTTGACTTACAGTTCTTGATCACCTTTATTCTGTGATAATCTTGATTTTGACTTGCAGTTCTTGACCACATTTGTTCTGTGGTAATCTTGATTTTTGACTTGGAGTTCTTGACCACCTTCATTTTGTGGTAATCTTGATTTTTTACTCCTAACACTGAAAGCTGGGAGTTCTTGACCATCTTTATCTGTGGTAATCTTGATTTTTGACTTACAGTTTTTGATCACCTTTATTCTGTGATAATCTTGATTTTTGACTTGGAGTTCTTGACCACCTTTATCTGTGATAATCTTGATTTTGACTTACAGTTCTTGATCACATTTGTTCTGTGGTAATCTTGATTTTGACTTACAGTTTTTGATCACCTTTATTCTGTGATAATCTTGATTTTTGACTTGGAGTTCTTGACCACCTTTGTTCTGTGATAATCTTAATTTTGACTTACAGTTCTTGATCACATTTGTTCTGTGGTAATCTTGATTTTTGACTCCTAAAACTGAAGGCTGGGACAAGTTTTGTATCCTGAGAGCCTAAAACACGAATTGCTGTGCAGTGATGACAAACCTTTAGCAGAAACCAGCCGGGTGAGCATGGTGGGGGTTGAAGAAGAGGAAAATCCACAGAGAAGATCCTGAAAAATCTTCCCCCAGAGGTGCTGGCACTGCCCAGGGAATGGTCCCAGCCCTGAGGCTGCAGAGCTGCAGGAGGTGCCCAGGGTGGGATTTTTGGGGTGTCTGTGCAGGGCAGGAGCTGCACTGGATGATCCTTTGTGGTCCCTTCCCACTCAGGATATTCTGTGGATATTGGAGAGAGTGTAAAGGGAGAAGTGTTCACTTTGTAAGCAAAGTCATTGTGTTCCTTCTCCCAGACAAAAAGGCAAATACACAAATGATGATAAATTACAGCTTTTCATATCTCCCCAGAGCTGTTTGTAATGACCCCTGCATGTGCCTGGTGCCTTTATTTGATACCTGAGGCTTGTGAACATGGCCCAGCCCTGATGAGAGCTGAGAACACCCTGTCAGTCTCTAACACAGCAGCAGCCACTGGGAAAACCACAACTTTGCACTCATCAAGCCAGAGCTGTTGGAATTGTAAAGGTTATAGATATTTTTGTGTCACGTAATTCGTGAACCATTTCCCACTTCTGCAGTTCCATTCTCTAAAAGAATTTCCAAGGGACCTAAAAAGCAGTTTCATTTTTATAGGTTCTCTTGGTTCAGGTAATATTGTGCCTTGGAGCACATTAGAGCAAGCTTTTCAAATGCTCCTGGGGTGTGTAACAGCCATTGTGGTGCCTGTGGATGTTCAGAACTTGGGCTGTGGTAGGAAATGAGCAGAAGGACAAAAAACCCCATCCAGCACCACAACTTCTGCCTCCAGCATGGTGGGGACACCAGAAACCTGAAGGAGGTTGGACAGAACAACCTTCTGAGATCACAAGAACTATTTGGAGAGATTATTCAATGTTTTTGACTTATTTCCTGTTAATTTGAGGGGTTTTGGGATATTCCATTCTGCTCCTTTTTTCTGCTGCTGAGGGTTTTCAGGGGATCCTGCTCCCCTGGGTGAGGAGGATACCTAAAAAGCATTATTCAATATTTTTGACTTATTTTCTGTTAATTTGAGGGTTTTTGGGATATTCCATTTTGCCCCTTTTTCTGCTGCTGAGGGTTCTCTGGGGATCCTGCTCCTCTGGGTGAGGAGGCTGCCTTTGAGAGGGCAGGTGTTTGTTCTGAGGACCAGGTGTTCTGCAGGACAGGTTTTTGTTCTGCAGGACAGATGTTCTGACCTTTTTCTCTTGTTTTTCAGAGAAAATGGGCCGGCCTTTCCATCGGGCAGGAGATTGATGGTGAGTCAGTCAGAGCAATTGGGATGTGTTCACAAAGCTGAGTTCATGTTTCCACCCTGAATTTGCATCTCACAGAGCTCCAGTCCTTCTCCAGGTGATGTGAGGGCCTCCTTAGTGAAGGAGCTGCTCTCCTCTCTGAAGCTTTTTTGCTTTTCATGTTTTCCAGCCTTGGGCAGGCTGTTTTGGCAGTTTCTGCAGATACCTGCAGGTATCTCAGCCTGGCTCTGTGTGGGATATCAGTGTCCTTCCTGCTCCATACAGGGACCTGCAAGGAGCTTGGTCTCTTCTCCCAGGAGAAAAGGGACAGGATGGAAGGAAACAGTCTCAGGTTGTGCCAGAGGAGGTGTAGGTTGGATATTAAGGAAAATTTCTTCACAGAATGGGTTGTAAAGGCTTGGAACAGGCTGCCCAGGACAGTGGTGGGGTCACCATCCCTGGAAATGTTTGAAGAACTGGTGGATGTGGCACTTGAGGACATTATTTAGTGATGACCATGGTGCTGGGTTGATAGTTGATCCTGGAGGCCTTTTCCAACCTTGATGATTCTGTTAATTGTGATTTTTTTGCCTGCTGGTCTTATTTTAACTGAAGAAGGACCTATAACAGGGGAAAATTAATTTGTCATAAATTAATTTGTTTCTCACCCTTTTTTGGCTGCTGATCATGTGCCAACTCAGAGATCAGTGTTTTCAGTGCTCAGGTCTTTTGGGGAGAGAAGCACTGATATTCTGTGAGCAGTTTGTGGCTGTAAAACCTCCCAGCTACGTGGGAGCCTGTGTTCACAAAAATAATGCAGTGCTTCTGTGCACAGTGACTAAATGTCATCTGACTCCGTGCTGGGTGGAAGGGATTTGTAAAAGCATTCTGCAGGTAGGGAGAATGCTCACAAAGCCAGGGATTTCCCAGGGCTCCTGCTTTGTCCTGCTCCCCTGATAACGTGGAAGCTGTGCTTTAAATGTCAGTGTAAATGCAGCCCACAGCTCTGTGCAGCAGTGATGAGTGCTGCTGAGCCCCTGATGGTGCAGTGAAGGTTCTACAGGTGAGTGATTTTCCTGGTGGGAAGGTATTGAAGTTGGAGGGAGAGACCCACCTTGCATTGATCAGCATCACTCTGATTTATTAATCAATCAGTCACTTTTTGTAACAGTGTTAATCAAGTTCATGCATATTGCAAAATCTGAGCTCACAATAGGTCAGAGATAACA